GCCGTTAAAAGGATTGAAACAGGAAACGTGCTACAACATGGATAAACCTCAGAAACATTATCCTAAGTGAAAAAAGCCAGACTGGGCTCAGGAATGCATTTTGCCGGCCTTAATCCCAGCACTTTGGGAGGCCAAGGTGGATAGACCGCTTGAGGCCAGGAGTTTGAGACCAGCTTGGGCAACATGGCAAAACACTATCTCTACCAAAAATACAAAAAATAGTTGGGTATGGTGGTGGGTACCTGTGGTCCCAGCTACTTGGGAGGCTGAGGCGGGAGGATCACTTGAGTCAGGGAGGCGGAGGTTGCCGTGAGCCGAGATCGCACCACTGCACTCCAACCTGGGTGACAGAGTGAGAGCTCATCTCAGTAAACAAACAAATAAATAAATAAATAAATAGAAAACAGCCAGACACAAAAGGTCACGTACTGATTCCATTTCTATGAAATGCTGATTCCATTTCTATGAAATATCTAAAATAGATAAATCTGTAGACACAGAAAGCAGGTTAGTGATTGCGGGGGGCAGGGATAAGGAATGAGGAGTAATTGCTTACTGGATACGACGTTAGAAGTTTGCCTTTAGGGTGATGAAAACGTTGTAAATATACTAAATGCAACTGAAATGCACTCTTTAAAACAGTTAACCTCATTAAAACAAAAATAATTATTATAAAATAAATACATGATCATTGTAAGAAAATATTTTTTCAAACAGCACAGAATGGTACTAAGTAACTTCTTTCCATGCTCTATTTCCACTGTTCAAAGAAATAAAGGATACTACAATTTATGATGCTTTTCCCCAGATTCATTCCATACACACACAAATGTGCCCTATGTGTTTGTGTGTAGATATTTCCTTTTCCTTTTATGCAAATGGGATTATATTCCACTCAGTGTACTGCCTGTTTCTCTTGGCAATGTGTCAATTACCATTTCATATCAATACAGTTTTCTTAATGGCTTCATAATATGGGCTTCGCATACTCCCTCGTCTCTTCATCCTCAGACCTGAGGGCTCCACTGTTTCCCTCCAAGTTCTCAGTCCCAATGCCATCCTGCCTCGGACTTGCCAGTGACTTTGACCTCAATTGTTGCTGCTTCACGTGGCATTGTAAGGAGTCTCTAACACCCAGCAGGTGCCTGGCCCCATGGGCTTTATAAAAATGGCAGCTCCCTTCTTCCGCACCCTGTGCTAGGCTAGGGCCAGCTGGGGGTACCGCAGAATAATGCCCAAGGGTGTAGACTCCCGGTTTTACCAGCCGTATGACCTCAGGCAAGTGCCCTAACCTCTCTGAGCCTCAGTTTCCTCCGTTGCATTGAGGATATTCACAGTCCCATACAATGATGCTCACACAGCGCTGATCCCAGGGCCCAGCTCCGAGCCGGTCGGTATCACGTGATCTCTCGGGAAGAAAAGTGGGCAGAGCCCTGGGTCGGTGGCCACCTGCTTTTGGGCAGGGTACTAATACGGGGTTCTGAGGCGGGAAGGTGAGGCCTAGCTGGGCGGCCCTGGGAACCCGGGAAGAAGGCGAGGCTGGAGTGGAAACGATTAGAATGAGAACAAACTGGCTCCTGAATAGAAGCTTTTATTCCTGCCGGAGAGGGCTTTGTTCCCCAAACACGTGACACACAAAAGCCTCTACTTGAATTCGGGAACCCTAATTGGTTCTCAGGTGGGGGAGGAGAGGGGTGTCCGGATTTAGGGATTCCTTAAAGGGACAATACTGTGGGGAGCTGAGCCCAGGGTTCCTCCCCATTGTCAGTGGGAGGGGGTGGCGTGGAGGGGAGGGGATAGGATGGGGGGAGGGGGAAGAGGTGGACCAGTGGGGGGTGGGGCAGCTGTTAAAAGAGGAGGGGGAGGGGAGAGGAGGGGAGAAGGGAAAAGGGAGAGACTCAGAGGCCTGCAGTCCCCTGGGCCAGTGCTTGAGAAATAGTAAACATGGACGGAGAGAAAGAAGAAAGGAGGGAGGGGAGGAAGGAAGAAGTGGAGGGAAGAAAGGAAGGTAGGAAGGGAGAGAGGAAGCAGGAAGCGGGGAGGGAAGCAGGGGGGAAGGAAGAGAGGAAAGAGGGGAGGGAGGAGAGGAAGAAGGAAGGAGAGAAAGGAAGGAAGGTAGGAAGGGAGGGGAAAAGGGGAGGAAGGGGAAAGAAAGGAAGAAAGGAGGGAAAGAGAGAAAGAAGGGAGGAACAGAGGGAGGGAAGGGAGGAAGAAAAAGAGGAAGGAAGGAAAGAAAGGAAGGAAAGAAGGAAGGAAAGAAAGAAAAATGGGGCCTGGCACGGTGGCTCACGCCTGTAATCCCATCACTTAGGGAGGCCGAGGAGGGAGGATCACTTGAGGTCAGGAGTTCAAGACCAGTCTGGCCTACATGGTTAAAACCCGTCTCTACTAAAAATACAAAAATTAGCTGGATGTGGTGGTGCATGCCTGTAATCCCAGCTACTCAGAAAGCTGAGGCAGCAGAATCGCTTGAACCCAGGAGGTGGAGGTTGCTGTGAGCTGAGATGGTGCCAGAACAAGGCTCTTGTCTTTTTTTTTTTTTTTTTTTGAGCCAGAGTCTCACTCTGTCACCCAGGCTGGAGGGCAGTGGTATGATCTTGGCTCACTGCGACTGCCACCTCCCGATTCTCCTGCCTCAGCCTCCCGAGTAGGTGGGATTATAGGTGCCCACCACCACGCCCAGCTAATTTTTGAATTTTTAGTAGAGAAGGAGTTTCACCGTGTTGTCGAGGGTGGTCTCTATCTCTTGACCTCATGATCCGCCTGCCTTGGTCTCCCGAAGTTTGGATTACAGGCATGAGCCACCGTGCCTGGCCAAATTATTTTTTTTTTATTAACAAAATTTTTGTTTGTAGAGATGAGGTCTCACCATGTTGCCCAGGCTGATCTTGCACTCCTGGGTTTAAGCCGTCCCCCCACCTCAGCCTCCCAAAGTGTTCGTATTAGAGGCGTTAGCCACCACACTCAGCCTTGAAATTTTTAATATATAATTTTGTTAAAGAGACAGGGTCTTGCTACATTGCTCAGGCTGATCTCAAACTCCTGGCCTCAAATGATCTTCCCGCCTCAGTCTTCCAAAGTGCGAGGATTATTGGCCGGTTGAAGTGGCTCATACCTGTAATCCCAGCACTTTGGGAGGCCAAGGTGGGCAGATCACCTGAAGTCAGGAGTTCAAGACCTGCCTAGCCAACAGGGTGAAACCCCATCTCCACTAAAACATATATAAAAATTAGCCAGGTGTCGTGGCGCATGCCTGTAATCCCAGCTACAGGAGGCTGAGGCATGAGAATCACTTGAACAGGAGGCAGAGGTTTCAGTGAGCCGAGATTGCATCACTGCACGCCAGCCTGGGCAACAGAACGAGACAAACAAACATACAAACAAAAAAGTGCTGGGATTATATGCATGAGCCACTGCGCCACCGGGCCCCTTTAAACAGTACAGAACTATCCGGTGTGGTGGCTCATGCCTGTAATCCCAGCACTTTGGGAGCCCAGATGGATCACGAGGTCAAGAGATTGAGACCGTCCTGGCCAACATGGTAAAACCCCATCTCTACTAAAAATACAGAAATTAGCTGGGCATGGTGGCATGTGCCTGTAGTCCCAGCTACTCGGGAGGCTGAGGCAGGAGAATCCCTTGAACCCAGGAGGTGGAGGCTGCAGTGAGCTGAGATCACGCCACTGCACTCCAGCCTGGGCAACAGAGCAAGACTCCATCTCAAAAAAAAAAGAAAGTACAGAACCTACCTCACAAGAGTGTTAAGAAGATGGCAGAGAGAACGTAAGCACTGAGCGGGCACATGATGGGCACCGGGGAACATTAGCCATGCTAGTAGAAAGGCAGTGGATATTTCTACAGAAGAGTGAGGACTCCCGTTCCCTCAGCCCCAACTCTGTGTGGCAGATGCTCTCATATGGTATTTTAACTAATACTTTTAAATAACTTTTGAAGCAGGTTTTGATCATCCGCAATTACAAAAGAGAAAACAGCCTCAGAGAGGTTAAGAGACTTCCTCAAGATCACACAGCTAGTGAGCAGCAGAGCCAGAATTCTAACCCAGCTCTATCCTCGATCTCATCCCAACGACTGTGTTCTGCCTACTCTAATCCAAGTACCCTCTTGGACTTCCAGTGCCAGGAGGCTGTGGAAGGGGAAGGAAGGGCTTAGGACCCTGAGGGACCTGGAAGGCTGGGGCTGACCCTGTACCCTCTGTTAGCATCCAAGCCGGAGCCTCATTATATGAGTCGATAGAGTCCTGAGTTCCGGACCACGGGCTCTAGGCTTCAGTTACTTATTTGTTTTTGTGACAAATGCAGTGGCACGATCACAGCTTACTGGAGCCTCAGCCTGCCAAGTAGTTGGGACTACAGGCACACACCACCACACTTGGATAATTTATTTTATTTTATTTTAATTTTTTTAGACAGAGTCTTGCTCTGTCGCCCAGGATGGAGTGCAGTGGCGCAATCTTCCACCTCCACTTCCTGGGTTCAAGCAATTCTCATGCCTCAGCCTCCCAAGTAGATGGAAATTACAGGTGTGTGTCACCATGCTTGGCTAATGTTTGTGTTGTTGTTAGAGACAAGGTTTTGCCATGTTAGCCAGGCTGGTCTCGAACTCAGGTGATCCTCCCGCATTGGCCTCCCAAAGTGCTAGGATTATAGGCATGAGCCACTGCGCCTGGCCCCGTTACTTCTTTTAAAAGTTATATTTGAGCACCTATTCTGTGTCAAGCACTGGCATAAGCTGTGAACAGGCCACATGTATCCTTGTTGTGTGCTAATGGGGCTTTGGAGGATGGAAACAGGAGGCTGGTGAAACCCCTGCTCAGAGCAGCCTTTTTGCCCGGCCTGGGGTGAAGCACTATGGCATCAACCACACTTGCCAGGACTGAAGGTATTGTCGGCCCCTCTCCTGCTCCCAGCTCCAGCCAGGGCCCTGTGTATGGGGCCCTTTAAGTAGGCGGTGCCCTCCCTAATTAACCAGCTAAAGAAAGAGCTGGCTTGAAATGGGATTGTGCAGACCCAGCTTTGGGACCTGAGGACGCTGGATCAGGGATTGTTATGCTAATCGCCTGAGATCAGCAGTTCCTGTGCCCTTCAGATGGCAGGTAGTGAGGCTGGGCTCTGCCCAGCGGCTGTGGCTACAGGAGGCCAGGCTTTTCCTCTGGCTTCCGGCTTCGTCTGTTCCCCCCCTCTCCCCGCCGCACCCCGTCAGACTTGCCCTGCCTGTCCTCCCACCTGCCAGTTGGCTGGAAGGCTTGGCGTCTCCTAGAAAGGTCCAGGCCAGCTCCTCCCACCCTCCAAAGAGAAACCTGCTTGCCTTCAAGCTGGGCGCTAACTGGGGATGCAGAGGTAGGAAGAAGGTACCCAGCTCCTCCTCCTGTCTAACCCATTCTCATCTCCAGGCATGACAGCTTCATTGGTCCCTCCTGCCCCCTTGGGCTCTGAAAAGCACACTGGGTGTTGCCTTTGCCACTTACTAACTGTGCCATCTTAGGCAAGTGACTGCCTCTCAGAGCCTCAGTTTCCTAATCTGTAAAATAGGTTGATAATAACAGTAGCTACCTCAAAGGGTTGAAATGAGAATAGACTGAGAACAGGTATCTAACATAGCCAGTTCAATTGCTACTGCCAATCCAGCACTGGATAGTAGCTCCCCTCTACCCCGTGTATAGCACCCACTATGTGTCAGCCCTGTGCTGTGCTGTATCCTTTTTTTTTTTTGAGAAGGGGCCTCACAGGCCAGGAATGATGGCTCACACCTGGAATCCCAGCACTTTGGGAGGCCGAGGTGGGTGGATCACAAGGTCAGGAGTTCAAGACTAGCCTGGCCAATATGATGAAACCCTGTCTCTACTGAAAAAAATACAAAAATTACCTGGGCGTGATAGCGGGCACCTGTATCCCCAGCTACTTGGGAGGCTGAGGCAGAAAAATTGCTTGAACCCGAGAGGCGGATGTTGCAGTAAGCCAAGATCATGCCACTGCATTCCAACCTGGGCAACAGAGTGAGAGTCTGTCTCAAA